TTAAAAATTCACTCGAAGAAAGGAATACACAACGCTAATACGACAGTCGTTAACTCGACGAAGCAATCGATCGATTTTATTGGTTATGTTTATACTATCGCGGTCGAAACACGAGGTCTGTTCTTTATTCCTGCACTAATGAATTGGTGCAATAAATTGAACCTAAAGACGCGTGATTATGTAATTGAAATCTCAGACCGCAGCAAATTCGAAACAGAGTGCACTGCACTCACGTGTTACAAATACCTCGAAGCGTAATTAATTGACTAATATTTCAAAAAATTTATGTTTCGAAGCATTCGTAGCACCAAGTGAACTAGCTACGATTAGCTAAAAAGAATCGACTTTATGCGACATTACATAAAATGTAAGAAATGTTGATCTGTTTCGAAAAAAATCAATATCAGAACATTTCATATTATGTTGCGTGATATATTGCGTGAGATTTTGCTTCCAAACAAGTTACTGCTTCTTACATTTCATGTAATCATAGTTTTGCGCCCGTAGTGGACATAATTATAAATTTTTTCCAAACCAGTCAATATTTTTTGCATTTCTCTTCCTATCTTGATCTTTTCTGCGTAAGAGAGATATTCCTGTAAGAAAGTATTGGTCGCCCTAAAAAGGGCGGATTGCTTTCTATCGTTTTAAAAAGAGCGAAATGATGGATGAAATAAATTTTATAAGAGATGCTCAAAATGTCCACCGTCCATTCTAACGCAGACTCTCATGCGTTTCAATAAATTTCTTTGCACATTCTCCATCATATTTTCTTCGATGGCCCATACGGCATACCGCAATCTTGTATCAAGATCTTCCATGTCTTCGGGCAGCGTTTTATAAATCAATTCTTTGCAGTATCCCCAAAAAAAGAAATCCAGAGGATTAAGATCTGGAGATCTGGCGGGCCAACGTATTGGACCGTATCGACCCATCCATCGTCCAGGAAATTTCTGATTTAAATAATTCGTCACTATTCTAGCGTTGTGTGGCCCCGCACCGCCCCGCTGAAATACAATTTTATCTCTGTCGAATAATGGTATTTCTTCTAAAAAGTCTGGTAG